ATCGAATGTGAATGATATTAAATATTTTTTATTTTTAAGTATTTATTAACTATTGCCTAGTAAATAAACTCGATCATTTTTACGATTATGCACGCACTGCGCACGCGTAACAAATTCAAGGTTGTATCACATTTATCAATACTACATTTTTGTGGTAATTTAATTGAGGTGTATATAAACCTTCTTGAATAAAAAATTGAAATATAATAATCGACATTCATAATACCAAAATAATAATATAATTTTTCGAAGAATAATAAATTGTACTCATTATGATTTCCAAAATTACAAGTATTTTTAAAGGATTAAATTTTTAGAGACATGATCGATGCGAGGCCGATGAAAATGATAACTTATGGTTTAGTGGTAAGAATATTTATTCTCCTCTATTGATAAGACTAAAGGTATCGAACGAGTATACGGCATGGTGAAGGTGACCGACCAAGACAACCACTGTAAGAGGTAAGGTAGAGTGAATGAAGGAAGCAGGTCGAAATTAATGCCACTTCTTTATCACACGATGAATTAAAGTTTATATCAACAATACACGTGAACTTACTATAACGCTTAACTATCTAAATGGCAGGCATAAAAAACCTCGTAGCGCGTGGAAAAAGCCACCATTTCACAAAGAAAAGAACGCAACAACAGTCTGACTCTAGCCTGATCGTGACGAAAAAGGAGAAAGCAGTTTACTCATCTCCCTTCGAGCTAGAACTCAACTATCCCCCCAGACGTACATCACGTCGAATTTTTCATGCCCTCCTTTTCACCGCTGGACCTAATCAATGCGCGCGTAGTCTCTGACACTCTTCCTCGCTTGCCCTCGCTTGGTAACCGATCGGTCGAAGGTGAGCGCCTTTTACACTTACCCCCATCGCGTCCTCTTCTTCGGCGTCGATGACGACCCGTCTCTTCAGAAAGCCAAGCTTCCTTGCGGGGTCTGCAGCTCCCGAGCGTGAACTCGGGTCAGTGGGTGGCTTATGTGGCAACGACGACGTACCATACACTATGCAATAGACCGAACGAGAGCTTCGCTGTGAGCATCGGGAGTTTACAATCTCGCTCCTTGCTAGAGTGTACGTGACTTAATCACTATGAAAATTCCGCTTACAACTGCTATGTACGTGCCGAGACAAAGACACTCTGAAAAACATGCGCACTTACGGCAATAACGAAGCGTCGTTAGAAAGTCCGGCGCCCGGGCGCCATAACGCATTTACTTCACGTGCGCTAGCCCGCATGTTGGCAGACGAACCCATCGGCGCATATACGTCGTCCGACGAAATCCGATGATTTATGGCCCCTCATAACGAAGGTGTACGCTCACCATTTCGTCCGGAGTCACCACCATTTTCTTTAATTATTGGCGCGTATTGTTAGTGTTTCCAACAGCCACGTTGCTTACATAGACTGCTGGCAGAGCAGGGAGCATGGAGACCAGTGAGTCTGTGATATAAATATATGATGCACTAAGAAGGTGCTTGTATTTTGGAAAGGAAACGATGAAATGAAGAATAGTTATATGGAGTTTTGTTGATGGCCTAGAGTATTGAAAAATTTAATGAGACGCCGAATTCTCGTCTAAGTTTAAAAGCAGAAGTGAATTTACAGATGCAGAAGCAGTGATGAAAATTTTCAGTACATATGTAAAAAAATACATCTCATGTAAAAAATCCACCTAATTAATCAATGCAATATGAAGAAAAAAGGTAAGGTTGTAAAAATGTAAGGTCTGGTATTAAATTAAAGAAGGGAGAACGTCTAACTGGGATGTTTCGGCGAATCTGACGACGGATTTGTCGTCTGAAATGAGAAGTGGATTTGCAAATGGAGAGGTAATGATGGGATACCAGGGAAGCATTCGTGAGAGATTGAGGGTTCAAGTAGCTAAAAATCATTTGGGAAAGTTCGGGGGGTAGATTTTTGATAATGTCGAAGCCTGGAGTATTAAGGTCTAAAATAGAAAAGATTTTACGTAAAAAACTTAAAAGAGCCATGATAGCTGGTTTTTTGTGCTGCTTGATGCTCTCTCTACAAGAGCATTCAAGTAATTGATCCAGTCTGTTGTTGCAGGGGCTTATATACCGAAGTGCCTTGACAACGCTGATTGGACTACTCTCTTCTAATAGGTTAATACTAGGCAACCAATCGCAAGGCACTTCGGTAGGGTATATAAATTAGTCATAACAAAGAGATTACAAGAAGCTACTGATGCTTATGGAGATTTTACATCAGTTATATCTGATGAAGAAATATCATCACACTATACGCAAAAAAATGTGTCTGAAAAATAATGGAAATGAAATCGAACAAATGTTCGTTTGTTGTTCGAGAACAGGACTGGATCAATATGGTAACCAGGCCTAAGAATACCACTTACCAACAAGAGTTATCTAAATCGTGATCAAGATTCGAACTAAAATTTCCATCGAGCGTGAGATTAAGAATCAGAACGGAATCAAAATCTAAATCCAGATCAAGAATATCTAGAGCAAGTTCAGGATTGAAATCAGATTCTGACAGTAATTCAAATACTATTTCAATGAAAACCACAAATAGTATTTGTGGCGACAGATTCGAAAATAAAATATAAAACAAAAACGTGTTGTTGGCATAGCAATAAAATTAGTTAAAATTTATTAATCAATCAGTTGTTATTAGTTAGTTAATTAGTTGATGTCCAATTGATACCACTTATACTTGTATCATACAAATAAATTATATTTTTATTAAAATAGTAAAACGATTATTTATTTTGCTATATATTGATCAGCAGCTACTGGATAAGTTACCAGAAGATGTGAGAGGCCAAATAAGTGAGAAATTCGGAACAATGCAGTAGCAAATTAATTATTTACAAGGTAAAGTGTTGAATAAAAGTAAAAAGAACAAAAAAACATCCCAGTATAAAGTACGTACCTTATTGAAGATCTGAAAATATTTCGATTCGAGATAACTTTCAAACACATATATATTTATTCATGCTAATAATTATTTTATTTGTAGAAGTTTAAGAACAAATAGCTCTCATTCAAGGCTACGATGTTGACTTAGACGGTCAAGGGAGTCTAGAATTATCTGCAGAATTAAAACGATTAGAAGAACCATGCTGCAATAACATGGTTAAAATAAAAACTACTATTCTCTCGGAAACGTAACTCCCCAGGGGTTTTTTCCGAGCGAAGACATGGGTATTGGCGGCGAAACATGTGCAAGCAATGCCGGAACTAGGCCGGCTCACCGATACGCTAAATTATGGGGACTTTTGCAAAACGAGCATGTTGGCCCACGTGTATGGGGCATGTGGGGCGCCAGAAGCGCGCTACTCTCTCCGAGACCTTCCATTATTAAAAACGTTTTCCGATCGCGATTTGCGTAATATGTAATGTCGATTCGGTCTCTCTCTCTTTCTCTCTTTCCCTCCCCTCTCTTCTCACTCTCTCTCTCTTTCTCGACGTGGCTCGACCCATTAACTTGGATGAGCGCATTGGGCGTGTCCGTCGCCGTGAAGCTGCACCAACTTGTCAGCACCGAGAGCTGAACCGTTCGACCTCACGAGTAGTAACTCATTCCCAGGGAATGCAGGTCAGCTCAAGTCGTAGGGAAGGGCTGTCAAATTCTTCATTGGGCCGGTTAGTTAGCGAGCTCCGAGAGCGGGGTGGGGGGAGATGAGGTACGACACAAAATACGCCCGAAAAATAAATGGCGCTTGAAACTGGCTCCCAGCGATGCGTGCGAGCGGAGGCTCGAAAACAAGGAAATAGAGAGCGACAGTCAGTCTGACCTTAGTTTTCCGTTCAAGTGCGATAGATCCGAATCGCGAAAACTGATATTGTCCTTTAAGTGTTACTGAAGCTATTTGCAGCAATTTGTATCTTCTCGAGCATGTCAATTAAAAAAAAAAATGTGTGTAAGGCTTTTTCCCTTAATCAACGTTTTTTTATGACATTTTTCGCATACATATACGTCTTGTTAAATAAATAAAAAGAAAAATAACAATACAACTTTCACTTTGCTCCCTTATCCTTACTCCTTGATACATATTCAATCACAAGAATTTTTTTAATTATGTTTGACCGCTAAATTGTTCATACTAGAGCAACTTGGGAATTGGCAAAAAGTATGCTCACATCGTTTCCGATTTTAAAAACATTTTGTTATGTTATATGGATAAACAACTCGTGCAGAATGCAAATTTATAACTATTTAACGCAAAAGAGGCTGCTCTCTTCTTACCTTGTGATGACCTTCATCAAATGACCTTGAAAAACACGTTCAAGGTCACGTTGAAGGTAACCATCAATTGGTCGCCTCTGATCCCTACAACTTTTACCTGAACTATTTTTTGCTATCATACTTCTAAAAGGAAATAATCGACTCCATCGATTAAAATAGATCAAACTGTATATACAAGAAAAGGGACTTTAATAAATATTTTTTTATGTAATAACATTATTTTGATAATAACTAAACAAATATAGTGTAGAGTCCAAAATATTATCCTGCAAAACGTTCTCTTAGGACAATCAACTTAGAAAACTTATTTTCGTAAAAATTGTTAACTAATAGCATTGCTTACATTAAAAATCTGTCAGGGATTAGTTATTAGAACATTATTTATCATTTCATTAAACATATGTTCAGACTGTACCGCTATAAAAGTATACCATTAGCACAATCGCAGAAATCTTAATAGCCCTAAGTTTTTAATAAATACCGGTAGCTATATTTGTTATTATTTTATTTGTTACCTCATGATCTTTAGAGTTTCATACTAGTTTTCAAAAAAATTTGAAGCAAATTAAATTTACAATCAAACGAAATGTACTGCGAATATCTTCTACGTACTAAAACAATTAAATTTGAAGATATTTTGTTTTTAAATAAATACACGTGGCCTATACTAATTTTTTTCAGCTGCTTAGACGACAAAAAAAAAATTATTTTTAAAGCTCAAAAAAAATGAAAAAAGGATGTTTTTCGAGGAAACGTTCTTCAATTATTTTTCGTAAAAAACAAATAGCTAAGAACAAATTGTTGTTAAAAAAAATTTATATATACATAATGCCTGTTATACTCGTGGTTTCTTTGTAGTTTTATTTACTTGTATAATAAATATCGATATAATCATGTCTACATTGCATTTGTATATGCATAATAATCGCGTTCGTAATTTAAATAATTAGTCTTGTAACACACAATTTGTATTTGTGCCCTCTGCATATTTTTGATAGCATATCATAATTAAAATAAAATACTTAAGCAAATGTAATGTCTTTATAATTATGATACATTTTAGAACTTTTTTCGATGCGATAATGATTTGGGTTTTAGTTTTATTCATTTGTATCAAAAATCATTTTCATATTTGCTGATGATCGGTCATGAGCTCACAAAATGCATACGTTTTTTGATACGAACTTTCATTATAAAGATTGATGTAAAACAATGATATGCAGAAGAAGCCGTAAAGTTTTCTTAATTTGTTGTACAAGATATCTGACAATGATTCTTACGTTAGTAATAATAGAGTAATCAGCTTATATACCTAGTAAGGACTATAAAAGAAATTCTAAATATTGTAATACAAAAATAAGAAATACTAAAACATTTTAATCAATACTTATAATTAAATAATAAAATATTTTAAAAAACGAACAACCGACCAGTGAATTAGTTAGTGACTCTAATTTATTCTAATGAAGGGTTGAATCTCATTTTCGTTCTTTAAAAAATTGTATTATTCAAACTATGAAGAGCGAAGATTTTTTATTGTATTTATTACTAAAATTCGCAAAAACACGAAAATATAACTTATTTTTACCTTGCGATTGAAATTTTCTATAAAAAAAACCTAATACGAATATCAAATGATCATAATATCAAATCAACATTAAAAACGAATAACGAAATTTTTCAGAGCAATACCAACTGTTGAACGATTGCTTGTGTTGTGTGCGCGTGCGCGCGCGCGCGTGTGTGTGTGTGTATGTGTGCGTCCGTGTGTGCGATGAACGAAACCCTAACTTTTAAACAATCTTTTTCGTAAAAATAATAGATTTTAGTTACAAAGTTGACAACAAAGAGGTTTGCGTTGAGTGGTGACAGTTTTGCCGCATTCTTTCTTTCCCCCATTGTCCATTTGTTTAGTGTCAGAAGACCAAAATGAGACTGGATCTCACATTTCTACCTATTATTTAGCATTTTACAAATGATGTACAGTAAAAACATTGAGATTAGATGAATTATCGTTACACCGACAGTTTCAATTGAGCAAAAGATACAGTTGAAAACGACATTTATATGAATAAAAAATCAACAATAAAAAAATCTCTTCATTACACATATAAAATAACTTCAGAGATCCGTGTCGTACCACGCGGCAGCGATAGAGCCATGATCTTGAGGTGGCGCCTGATCGGATGGCAGCTCGCTTAGGTTGTCAAAACTCAAATCACCCTCGTGCGCCACATCCATCGCGTCTAGCGGCCCGTACGTCGAGTCGTTGCCGCCAATCTCCAAGCCCTGCATGGAATCTACTGGTATCTGGTCATAACCTGTAGGTCAAATTATACGTGTAAAATTTCCTTTCATTTAGCATTGTTGAACTCACATGTGCAATTTCTGGAAAGGGGCAAAGTCAATTTTTTAATTGTAAATCTGCGATGTTTCATGAAATTATAAAAAATACATTTTCTATTTTTAATCATAAAAAAATAAAAAATTGTAATTAGCTCATCGATAAAAATAAAATACAATATAAAAATTACAAAATTCGAATAAAAGTAATAGCAATTTAACATAAGTGTAAGGAATAATGAGTAACATATAATGAATGAAGGTGACTGTAGTAGTTGTGTTTGTGAATTTTAATATAATATGACAGCAATATATGTAACAACATCTAACAAGCAGCTTCATGATGTAATAAAATAATGATATAGACAACACAACATCGAAATTTACTTTTCACCTACTATATTATATAGTGCACGATATTGTCGCAGAGCCTTTTACTTATTGTTTAGTCCATAGGTTAGTCTGTTGAAGAATAAAGCAAAATATAAATCTTATTACTGTTTTTTATGTTAAAGATAATCAATTAATTATCTTTTGAAACTTTACAAAGTTTGTCTCAACTAGCTGGCTTGTCCCATTAATTGAGAAAAGTATTTTATTATGATTTCGATAGTCTACATATATTATTTAAATAAAAAGCTCTAAAAAAATAAAAGAAAACTAATAATTTACCTTGGGGTTGATATATGCGGCCTCCACCGTGACTGCTATGTATACTAGGAGGTCCTTGTCCATACATACCGTCATACGATTGTTCAGTACCGAGTACGTCCTAAGGATCCAGATTGACAAATCAAGGAAAACTTAATACACAACTAAAGATGGCCATATCACACGCTTTCAAATTCACAAAAAAAAAAAACAAAGAATCTAAATGTTTCTACAAATATATAACAATGATTGGAATGGATATCGATGTTCAATGGTAATGCAAAATAATCACGACAAAGATTTAAGAACATTCCCATGCAGAATTTTCAATCATATTTTAACGAAATAACAATTTACGATTTCATTGAACTAACGCCTATTCAGTTTATGTGTGAAAGGAATAAGTACATCATTTATATATAGTTGAATGATTGATATTAATTTTTATGATATGAGTAAAATATATCATGCTTTGCAAACGTATTACCAATTTCAGTTTGTTATTTACACCGAATTTAAAAGGATGATGGAGCCACAGGAATTCATATGAAATACATAGCGATATGTAAGAAAACATAGTTACGAACATTTTCGTAGATTCCGTTATACTCTTTTAATTTTCAATTTTTCGTAAAAGTCTGAATTTGATACAGCCTTTTTCTAAAGTAATTTCGGAGCTGAAATTGCTGAATTAAATATTTATAAAAGTTTAATAATAAATAAAAATAACGAAATCCACGAAATACATTCCTGTCATGTGGTTCGAGATCCTTTTAACATAAAATCTAATAAATGCATTGTAATGTAGTTTTTCATGTAAATAATTTCTATGTGGTAATGTTTTCTATGTTGGATAGAAATAATAATTGAAAAAAATAATTTTATAAGCAAAAAATAAATAAATAAGTACAATCAAAATGTAATCATTCAAAAGATAATTTATGATCTGAATATCGTTGATTCTTCTATTGCTATTTCAAATGAGTTTCTGCTAATACTTTTATTAATTTTTACACATAATGATATCCATATTATAAACAATTATATGCCATTCTGTGCGTCAAAACTTACCTGGAGATCTGGACCTAAGCCAAATTCTGGGTTATTCCAAAGATTGGGATCCTCACGCAACAGCGAGTTGGTAAGCTCAACGGAAAGTCGTTTCTTATAGTCTTGAGGTTTGTCTTCGCTCATACGGAACAGAACAGCAGCGGCATAAGTAGCCACACCCTCATTGCGCGAGTGCAAAAGCTCAGTTAAAGGTGCCGTTGCACCTTCCTGCTCGATCATTTCAGCACCTTCCTTGTCAGCGGCCAGCTCGCACAAAACTCCCGCGGCCACGCGTTGAATGTTTTCGATTTCATTAAATAGTAGCTGAAAAGTTTTTTAGTATATAGTGAAAAATAAATTGTTAATTCAAATCCTATAGTAAATTTCTTAAGAAAATGTATGTTATATAAATTTTTGATTTAATGTGCATAATCTATTGTTTAAGTAAATTATGATGGAAAATGGTTACCTGTACAAATATGGGTATAACAAGTTGCGATCGAATCAGAGCCCTATTATGAGACTCGCGAGCAAGAATATGTAGAGCGCCTACGGTACCTTCCACAATTTCCTCCATACGCACTCCATCTGCATAGGCCCCAGATGCGGGTCCACTACCAATATTGGTCACTGAAGATCTTTGCTGAAAATTTAATCATTGACTTATAAGAATGAATACAAATACCTATATTTCTTAAAAATGGTTTAGAATAAAGAAAGTTAGTTTACCCTCTGAGTATCATTGAATGCGCGCATAAGCAACCGAACTAAATGATGAATTGCACCGTTTTCTCTAAGCGGTGTATAATTAGCTGGACAAAGGGCAAGATTTCTTATAAGACCGATAACCGCCTTGATAAGGGGCCAACGCGATGGTGGCTGCAGTAACTTGACAATCACAGGTATGCCATAGTTGCCGCGTACGGCATTTTGTGCCATCTCGGCCTCGACGTGCCGAGAGGTGAGATGTCTCAAAGCGCAGACAGCCGGCTCAGTGATCTCCTCGCGATCACCAGCATTCATGATAGTGCGTACAAGAGCATCTACACCACCCACCTGGCAAACGGTTACCTTATTGCGTTGATTGTTACAGGTCAAGTTAGAGAGGATGCCCGCGGCACAAGTAACAACGTTCACGTCGCTCGAGGCCAACACTTGAACAAGACTTTGGAGTAAGCCCTCGAGGCCATCGACCTTTGTGCCAGCATCCGACAAGTTTCGCAAGGTCCATAGGCAATTCTGGACAAGGCGTTGACTCGGATTACCGAGATGCATTGCTAGTGCCTGCATGCCTCCAGCTTCCACAATCGCTGGCTTGTTGCTTGCGCATACTGATAAAACTGAAATAAACGCGATTCATTATCAAAATTTTTAAGTATGGTATCATTATTGAGGACTTTTTTTGTATACTAAATTATTTTGACTATTACAATTTTATTGCTACTCACTTAATTTAATATAATAAGTCATTATATTAAATATTCGTTTATTATAAATCGGAGTACTTGATTTTCATTTATAGTCGTATCATTTATTAAAATTTCATGAGATGATATCTTCCATATTTAAATAGATTTCAGAATCCAATAAAATAAACTATAAAAGGAGTATGCATTAAGTAAAAGTAAAGTAAATATAAAGGAAAAATGAAGTAAAGTGTAAAAAGGAGAAAAAATTATTGAAGAAACTGGTAAACAAATACTTTTAAAAACAAGGTTCAAAAAGAAAATTGTTCTCACCTTTGAGCACTCTGGAGGTAGTCCAAAGTAGCTTCTCATAATCGTAGGTACGCATAATACGTACAAGTTCTGCTGGACCCTGTGATGCTAAAATAATAAGCTTGCTTTCTTGGTTACCATAAGCAAGAATTTGCAAACAGTCGGTAACAATAGCTAAAAACTTGACGTTGTTACGCTGAAGCAGCAGAACCATGCGTTGCAAACCACCAGCCAATCGAACGGCCATTTTCGAACCGTCTTGATGGAGCAACAGATTGTGCAGAGTTGTGATAGCATAGAACAACACCGACTCAATATTCGAGCTAAGAAGCTTTACGAGAGCCGGTATACCGCCACTCTTGAATATCGCCAGAAGACCTTGTCTATTGATAAAATTCAATATGAGATATTTTTGGTAATTTTTTTTTAATTTAAGAGGACTGTGACGAACCTATGATGAGACAAGTTATGCAAGGTACCAACTGCAGCCTTGGTAGACTCGAGATCCTCGCTATTTGAGATGGCTTGGACAAGCGTCTCAACCATTTGTAAGCTGTTCATGATGGCATGCCTGGAGGCCTCTTTCTTAGATAGTTGATGAACGACCATAGCTGCTTGAGATACAACCACCTGGTCTTCGTCGTTGAGCAGCTTGATGAGTTCTGGGACAGCGCGAGTAGCGAGATCAGCATCATCTTGGTAGTTGATTAAATTGACCACAGCATGTTTAAGCATCTGACTGGGCTCAGTGAGACGCTGCACTGCGGTCGGCTGAGCCGGATCAAACTGCGTCGATGGAATCTCAATACCCTCTTCCAGCGTCTCCGGGAACATAGCCGCGCGCACACGCTGTGAACGTGTGTGGCTCAACTGGTCGTTCATCTCTGCTCATTGCAAAAATCATTGTCAGTGAGTATATGCCGATCAAAATTAAAATTAAAGTTAAAATCTCAGTAAGGTAACATTTCATTAGTATCATACCATCAACTTGATCCTGGGTAAAGCCCTGGGCAAATCCCTGATCGAGATCGAACATGAGTTGATCACCTTCGATCTCCTCGTCGTCCTTGCCGCTAAGCGATGGCGCGGTGGTGGCGGCGCCCGAGTGAATACCTGAATCACCCATATAGGAGTTTTGCTGCCACATAAGAGTCTGCTCTTTGCTCGATGGCATTGGCAGATCGCCCGGACCTTGAGGTTGATAGTTGCCGTGCGACACTAGCAAAAAAACCATTAGACATTCAGTTCGATTTCATTACGATTTTATTTTGTATACCTTCGTTTAGTCAGTGAAAAATTTAGTTATTAAGTTTTATCAAAATTCATCCGAAATGGATTAATGTATACAGTTTTATGAGCAATCGTAAAATACACTCACTTGGTCTAGTTTGATTACTTGGCATTTGATAACTCATGGTTACAGTTTTCAGTAGTCAGCGTCTGAAAAAATGCGACATTATCGAAGAGGTTACAATTAATTTTACATTTCTTAACGATTTAACAACTTTAACAATTGTTTTTCCAATTGTTAAAATTTTTCTCAAAAATTTTATTGCCAAGAAATTAGTACTAAAAATACCAATTTAATAAATTAACCTAACTTGATAAATACTGTTTTACTATGTCTATTATATAAATTTAAAGCTTACTTTATAGAGATTTAATTAACGATATGATATTAGAAAGACTATGATATTCAGGAAAAAAACAGTAAACACTTGTGCTTTAAATAGTCATATAAATAGACAATGTAAACATTGTATTATATATCATATAACTCATAGAATGATTTATTCATCGAATTTAATCTGAAACTGCCTTGAATATGAATTTAATCTTTATCACTTTAGTTATGCAATTCGAAATGTAAATCGTACCTTTGATTTATTAAATACAACTAATATTTTCATAATAGTTGTTTGATATTTTTTATTTTGCTATTAAAAAATCTATAAACATGTTAATCATATATACGCGATAAGTAAACACAATAATACGCATTTACTTGTACGTAAAAATACTTGAAAATACGTAGCGGACAGGTACGCAATGCATAAATATTATCGATATTCGTACCAAATTCACACATAGTATGGAAAAATGTTATTCAGATATAATCTCTGATTTTAACTCAGTTAGATAAGTATAGGTAGAGTCCAACTATTGCGAAGATTGCAGTCGCAGAGAGAAAAGAAAAGCTCAAGAGGCGTGGGCGCAGGGCGGCACAAATCAAAGGGCTCGGAATGCATGAGAAAAGAGAAAGAGAGACTTGTTTCCGCTCTCTCACTCGCGCAATCAATGACTGGCTACGTGAGTTATTTGACGATAATATTTTGTTACTTAATTTGTAAATTAATAGCACAGTTTGAAGTGCAAAATTTTGCCAATAATACCAGTTGCAGTAGTTCTCTCGCATAGACACACCACACACACGTCAAGATGTGCATGACAACTCTAGCGAGATGAACGGTGAGAGAGAAAAACGAAAATACTCACCGAGTTACGAGCTGTTCGCTGCAAGCCAGCGCCTTCTGTGTCGGTCGAACAACCCTGATAACGCGGGTGTATCTCTGAACTTTCGTTGATGATTCACACACGTATAAAGTTAAAGAAAGATAGGATCAGATGTAGAGGCAATGATCAATCTCCTCCCAATGCAATTGCGAGAGGAGAGACTGCCGGACGAGAGGTCGACGCGTCGATGCCGCCACCACTTTTGGTTTACTGACTGTCAGCAGCACTCGTTCTGAGACAGTTATTTATGGAAAATCAATGATTTCAAATATGACTGACTAGTGTAGAGTGGATTAGTTTTATGTGCATAAAATTTAATACTCTTTTAAAATTAAGACTACAATTACATTGTTTATAATAATATTGGTACCCTGATCTGTAATGTCAATTAGGTAAATCGCATTCTGTTATACCTACAGACGATTGTTAAATCGTATACCCAGATAACTCAATGACGGCACAATGCCGTCACAAATATAAACGCGATATAAATGATTATTTATATTTACAAAACTTCGTCAGTAAAGTTATTTGAAAAAATTCAAGCTATATATATATATATATATATATATATATATATATATATATATATATATATATATATATATATATATATATATATGTTTTTAATAATCTCTTCTAATGTTTTAATATATAATTGTTATTTCAAAGTTTTCGAAAAATTAACAATTCTTGCTTTTACAAATTTTCAAGTAAAAAGAAATATTTGCTAAAATAAAGTAAAAACCAATAAAATAAAAATCTCCTATGAGCATAAAATAATATGTATTTAGCATAAGAATGTATTTATGAATATACATGTAAAATTTTTTTCTATTGGCTATAAAAAAGTAGTGCAAATTGATCAACTTGAAGTGATATCGTTTCCTTTATTCAACTTTATTTTATATTACTTTGCGAATTGTTTCATACATTCAATGTCGAAACCAACTTTCTCGATTTATCTATCATAATCATTGACTTAAACTATCTCCGCTGAAGGTTCAATCAGGTAAATTCATTTTGTAAAGAGATATACAAATGCGTGTTTAAAACAGGTGACTTTTTTCATTACAATTCTTTGACGTAATAAAATAGGACAAATTTATGATAAGTGCCTCTCGGTATGGTAAAATCAATAATGAATAAGAAAGTGCGTTCACGTTTGTTTTATTCACGTCGATGGATTCATTATTCAAGTTTTTTTCTAATAAAACGGCTGTACAAAATCATTCACAACTGCACGAGCAAAAATTACATATAAAAAAGTATTTGTTATAAATTTGTTTTATTTATTTAATTTTCTGCATCAAAGAAGAATCATCTCTAGCTATAAATGTGTGTGTGTGTGTGTGTGTGTGTGTGTGTGTACGTGTGTGTATGTATATAGTAAACAGAAAAGCTTGTTGCGCCTTCCTGTCAATGATTTGCCTGAAAGACACGTGATACGCACGGCACGCAAATTTGGTTTATAGTTATGATGTGCGCTAATTTTTTATTTTTGACGTAATATAAACACGACTGACAGTTCAAAATAATCGTTAACTTTTTTACTTTTTTATAAGAAAACAGCTAGATAGAACGCTCCAAAATTATTTAGTCGTAATTAAGACAGATAAATTTATTAATATTAAATATTTCAACTACTTGCTTTGTATCTTTTAAGTAAAACATTGTAGAAAGAGGCGACAAATTTTTCTTGATTACGAATGAATATTATTACTTAACTATGTATGATAACGAAGACTCTAAGGAACTGATATACACTTCTATAGATAGATAATAAGTAAAGAAATTATAGATCTCCATATTATTATGATTATGATTTCATATATAGTAATTATGATTCCATAGATCATAATTACTCGAAATAATTAGCATCGATAAGTGTTTATACCTGAAGTGCAATAAATCAGTTGCGGAGCATTTTATACGGCTGTTTCCATACATAAAATTAAAAAAACCAACAATAATTTCTAATGATTAGTTTATTTATGACGCAAGCTGACATTTTTTTGAACATAATTATTTTTAATGCCAATTGGAAATATCGTTATTTTATATTTTTTTTAGAGGAAATGGTTGTACGGATTAATCCAAAATACATTAATTACACTATATACACGGCAAAACCTTAAAATCCTATGTGTTTAAATTTAAACGTTTTAAGTGTGTAATTGTGACGCTACCCATAAAAAATACATTATCGCTGAATTTAAACGTTTAGAAGTGTTAAAATTGAGGACAATGTATTTCTTATGGGTGACGTCATATTAAACGTTTGAATTTAAACAGTTGGGTTTACCATGTATAAAGTAAAATTGATCGATAGTGATTGTTTCAATTACTTATGCTTTATAATTTTGGCGGACCATTCAAAGAAAGCTGCGTCTAATTTTAGCTATGTATTACACACACGCACACACACTCACGGACACGAACACACGGACACGCATTCGCACACACACTCACATAATATATATATAAAGAAATATTATCGAAATCTACATAACGCATATAATATGTAAGCAATAATATGCAATGTTATTGTTCAAGAAATTAAAACTGTGCAAAGCTCTAAGGCATATTATATTAATATAAACAAAAGTACAATTTAAATCGCATCATGACCAAATATTGTTTACGATGTATAAAAAATTTAGATATCTATAAAAATGCCAAAAAAAAGAAATGGTTAATAACTTATATAAAATAGTTTTCATAAAAAAAATCTGTAAAAAAATTTCATGACTCCAGAATAGCATTTTTAATAGATTTCCTTTCGCTGTGGATTCTCATATTCTCTTTATTCCATGTATAATTTGATAACTTTATTGTTTATTAAATTCTTCATGAATTCTTCATGTTCCAATAAATAAACATCAAAGATAAGAGAGAGAGAGAGAGAGAGAGAGAGACAGACAGACAGAGAGACAGAGAGAGAAAGAGAGAGAAAGAGAGAGAAAGAAGTTCTTAGAATCATGTAAGGAATATACTCAAAATTTTTTCAAATGGTTTAAAGAAAATTTTTTGTTTTTGCTATTGGTCAATTTTTGTTTAATCAAAAAATTGCTCAAAATAATCTGAAAAAATTCTCATGTATTCTTGAGACAATTATAAGAATAATCAAATTTTTCTATATTTGCATTGCTTCCAAGAAAAAAATAACAAATATCAAAGTAGTATCATCTATCAAAATTATTCCGAATTTTTTGGAGCAACTTTTTGATTACCCAAAAATTGACTAATAGCAAAAACAAAAAATTTTCTTTAAACCGTTTAAAAAAATTTTAGTGTATTCCTTACATGATTCAAAGAACTTATTCAAAGAACTTCTCTCTCTCTCTCTCTCTCTCTCTCTCTCTCTCTCTCTCTCTCTCTCTCTCTCTCTCTCTCTCTCTCTCTCTCTCTCTCTCATAACGGACATATTTATTCCACGGGTTAGTGAGGTTTCAATATCATTACATACCAGAAACCTATTAGAAACTCGATCGCAAAAAAAGACGTGAAAAATTCGTGTTTATTTAAACTGCATTTTATCCGATGAAACAATTTTTTGCAAAGATTTTATGGGCACGTCTGGGCTTTAGCCGCTCATGTGTGTGCGGCTGCAGCAATGTATCCCGTGGCCTCTCTCGTCAAGGCATTTCAGAAAATTTTTCCGAGATTGCATTCGACTCCACTATGGGAAGCCTTCGCTTCTGCCTTGTGTGTCACATACGTGCACGGGAATACCAAAGGAGTTGGGTTCGGGTAACCCTATTGGAACCACACCGTGTTTTCGAATGTGATCCGAAAACAAATTGTCAAGGCAAATTCCTGGCCATTTACATCTTCCGGTACCAATGGCAATGCATGGCATTTCCCTTCATGCGACACGATGTGAGGGATCCTGCAGGGGGTTCAACAGTCAGTATCCTGACTAATCGGTCCCCTGCGCATTTCCCGCCCCATTGCTAATTTTGCAATCGGGGTAGTGCCGGTAACCAATCGCACTACGCGTATTAGAGGAGTTTCGAAAAGTCGATTTCCTGACGCTGTCTTCAGCTGGCATTGCCTTTGTTCAGCCTTTTACTCTATATTATTAATGGAAAATAAGGTGTTTAATAAAAAAGGAAATGGGAAAGATGTGTGCAATAAATAAACGATCACTTCCGATTAAATAATACAACTGCGGCTTTAATAAAATAATAGAAAGGTAAATAAGTAGCACTTATCCGGCATAAAAACCCTAGCCATAAGTGGGGAAAAGCCCTTTAAGCACTACTCTTACTATAAATTATAATGGATAGAGAAAGAGAGAGAGAGAGAGAGAGAGCTAAGATACGGGACACTGTTAGAGGCTCGCTGAGCCTGTACACATATGTACGCGGTGAATGGCATTTCAAAATTCTCGCTTACCCGTGGACATTAACTCTGGTATGCTAGGAGAGAAGGTGCTGTCCGAAACACACACACACGGACGCGCCACAGCCCCGACGTCTCGGGCACACCAAACTGCGGCAACGCCTAAGTTACCGATCTGATGGGCAGAGAGAGATTCTGGCAGCACCCTAGAGGTACTAGGACGTTTTCTGCTGACGTAATATCAGCCCCTTTAGTATGATAGTTATATGATAGTTCGCAAAGGCACCTCGACTCCTGGATAGCGCACGCAAATACACTCGATCGCATAACACAGTTGCGAAACTGTATAATACGAGTAATATTGGACAGTGCCACATCTCATGCCACCTATAAAGGATAACTTTGGTGCATTTAAAATTTTATTTACATATTTCAAGAATCACAGTCCTGAAGACTTTTATGATTTTGTGGGAATGATAATAGAACAATTTGATCTACGCCTAGTAATGGTAAAACACAGATTAATTAAACGAAGCAGACGAAAAGTTCTTTAACCGGAGCTACGTCTAGCTATTGCTCTGAAGTAAATTTTTTTTTACTATCCTCTTTATGGATATTTCATTATACTCTACAATCGTTTAATTCATATAATTCTTTTCTTTGAGTTATTTAAGACATGGTTTAGTCATTAAAACCCACTCATGTTTGTTTTTCATTGGGTCGAGTAATATGTACAAGCTTGTGCCAGAAGTTTGCTCAGTTATATATAAAGAGCTCAAACCAACTTTTATGGCTTTTCCTAGTACTTTACATTGGATGGAAATTGCACGAAATTTTGAAT